CCAGTCAGGTTTTTCTTTCATTAAAACTTGAAGATAATTTATATTATTCATGTTTAAAGAACATGGTTTTCCTGAAAGTGATGGAAGTTTTTTCAATACAACCATATCTTTGAAAATGCACAAGAACCTAACTTATAGAAGACCTGCTAACACTTAAGTATTTTGCAATTTTTTGAGTTAAAAAGCCTTCTAAATTTTTTTCAATAATTTGCTAGCGAATGTGGTTTGAAAATATTCTATTTTTTGAATTCAACAAGAGATGTACATAATTTTTTATTTATATTAGCCACATTTTAAATTACATACGTATATATTATAGTATTATATCAATTTTTATTGAATTTATTATGCCGAAAAAATTACCGCCCGAAAATTTTTTCAGCTAATTTTTTATAGGTATCACAGGAATAATGAAAACAGCGGTAATTGGATCAGTTAAAAATCATCTGGTAAATTTTTTATCAGGTGTCTGTAAAACTTTTGTAACTACCGGCCAAATAAATTCAAATAGTTTGATTGTTACATAAAAAATTTATATATTCGGTACACGTTAGGCGTATATAGGGTTTTTATTATACTGGTACAATAGAAATGGTAGTATAATACCAGGTATAATACCATATAGTACTGTATAATACAGTATTACCGAAATTTTGCTTCTATATAGTTTAATATAGTTCAGAATCTTTCGGAAATTTCTAAAAATTAGATTGTTTAAATCAGAAATCTTTGTGTCCTCAAAAAAAAAAAGGTTTAATTGGCTAAATTATTTTTAATTATATATAGTATAATACTGGCATTATACGGGTATTATACTAATTATATAATCTGGTATCAAGTTTCTTAAAAACCCTAGGATTTACTTATTTGCGCCGGTGATACAAATCACGTGCTAATAGTAGCATGTCTAGAATGTGTAACAGGTTATGCCGAATATATATTTATTAGACAGTCAATTGACATGATGCACCTTCTGATTGGATAGTGTAAATCAATTTATATTAAGCATTATTTATACAGTTTAGAGTACTGTATTTGAAGATGTCACTTCTAAGCCAATTTTTTATCTTCACATATTTTCCGGTTATCTTGTCACTGATAAAATAGTTTATACATATAATTTCTTAATATATCTGATATATATATATAACAAACGATAAATTATATATTACTAAATAAAATTGTTCCAGATAGAATTAATTGTGCTGTCACGTTTAATAACATCATTTATTTATAGAATATAAAAGACCAATTCTTAAAAAAAAAATCAATATATATATCCTATTTAATCGCTTAACTAGTATTATCTCTAACGAATAAAAGCTTACTCAATTTTGTTGGTTTTCCATAATATGCTTACTTAAATTATATTCCTTTTTCCCAACTTTCTTCTTCTTGCAGCAAGGAATAATATGAGGATCTCAAATCTTCATTTTCTTTATTAACCTTTTGCTTTTCACTGCTTGATCTTGTTGGTTTTCGTCTGTTCACATATTCTACTTGAATACAAATTGCAGAACCACTTCTAAAATGAGCTACTGGGTCTGAATTATGATTAAGATCATAAAGAAATGAAACAAGCCGAGGAATAGACTTCGATTTTGCTCGATGATACTGCTCTGCGAATTTATCAAGTGCTATGCGTAACTGGGAACTTGAATTTTCATAATCTATTTTAATTTCCTCTAAAAATATAGAAATATCGCCAATGCCTTTATCCTCTCTATTATTAGACTCTCTACTAAATAAAATAATGAAATTAAATAAAAATATTATATTTAATAAGTATACAAACAAATAGCTAATAAATCCCAACAAATATTACCTCTACTCAGTAGCTTCATCGAAGCTTTCATCGAAGCTTTCATTAGGAGTGCCGCTTAATAATAAGAGCTCTTGATCTTTCTGAAAAGGTTCTGTTCGTAGCAATGCATAAAATGAACGATCCTCAGAAAAATAATCTATATATAAAGAAAATACATTATACTGTTTATTAATATGATCATCTCAGTCGTTTCAAATCCTAATAAAAGCTTTCAGGCCAAAGAGGTCTCCTTAATCAATTCAATATGATCATCTCAGTTTGGACTATCTAAAAAATCAAAGCTGTTAATTGCAAATTACGATTATAAAAAATAAATAAATAAATAATAATAATTAAATTGCATAGTATATAAATAATTTAAAAGATTTCAAACTGGAATCTAAAAAACAAATAGCTCCTATTAATTTGCAGAATTCTAAGCCACAATATGAAATTTAACTACAGAAAACCTTACAATTATCTCCAAATTACTTAAATAGTAAATATAATATGCAGAAAATTAAAACTTGTAATTATTATTTAATATACAGTATACTCTATTTTAATGCTATTACTTACCAAGCACGATATATGAATAAATTATGCGATCTTTGGGTGTTATTGAAGGTATAAAGTTAAACATTGCTATATGATATTTAATAGCGATGACGCCCTGATGCTTGCAGGGAGCACCAGATACACCAACTGGACAAGTGCATACACCCATTCCACTATTAATGACATAGTAAATATTATCTTGTCTCATGCTCTGCACTAAAAATTCATTTGCTACACTTGTTTTTTTAATGGAATTCATATCCACCATTTCCCAACTAGGACATAGGAAACGTTTTGCAATACGAAAATATCCAGGATGCTTGTGAGCAATTCCAAGAAGTCTTTGTTCATAAAATCTCTCCATGCTTCCTGCTACAAACTAAAATACTTGCACAATATTATACGCTTGAGTGCGGGCAAAAATTGTATCCTTTAATATACCAAAGCTTCATTCAATATTATTGTTGGTATTGTTTCTGCATATAGGTAGTATAGTGTGAAAAGACAAAGCCCAAAAATGACATCGCTCTCATAGAAGATCAAAATGTCTTTGTAAAGATTAATATTTATAAAAGCTTTGCTTGAATTCCTCATAATGTTTATCCATTTCAGGGCCAGATGATGCATAAAGAATTTGTTTCATTTTATTCATTATAACAGGATGTTCTTCCTTTTTGATATGGTGTTTTGAATCATGTAACCACCTCCAGAATGCTTGTAGGACATGGAATATATACAGAAGATGGACGCCTGTGGTTTAACAATAAAAATATAATGTTAATATGGTAAATTTTTAATTTATTAAAATTCAAAAATTAATTTTACAAATTAAACTAGAAATTAATACTAATAAAAACGATGTATTTAAAAAATAAGATATTATTGTAACCAAATATAATTAATAATAAAAAATATCTATTTAATTGAAATTATGCCCTTACAATTCAATACAGATCATAAATTAAAAAAAATACCTCGTGGCCAACAAAGTTCTAAAGCGTTACATTCCGCATTAGAATCATCAGTGAGAAAAACTATCAGTCCTGCCCGTGGTCCACGCCCAAAAAAGGTATACAGAGGAAGGATTGTTTTTAATAAGTCTATCGCTTTTTCTAATGTACTCTCAGATTCATCTGAGGTAATAAACAATCCCAAAGGGAGAGCACCAGTTGTATAACTGGTATAAAAAGGAGTTATAGAAGTGTTGAAAGGATCAAATGAAGCTGATACATCCATGTAACATATTTCACCTGACTAAAGAACCTTTTCATGCACATGAGCCATTAGGTTTGTTACTAAACATAAAATAAATACACTTCCTGAATTGGCATTATATTTTTGCAGAGCAGCTTTACCTCGCCCTAATAATTAAATTTTTAATTAGTTACTGTATATGTATATTTACAGTATAACCAAATTTTTTTTTAAAAAAAAAAGGTTATAACCTGAACTATTATAATCTTCTACTATCAATTCTAATCATTCTAACATTGGCTTTCTATTACAGCTTCCAAGTATAGTATCACAGTATTGTTGAAAAATATAATAAATTAAAGCATAATCCGGGTTATTCGTCCGATCTGCAAGTAATTCCACCAACTCTTGATCATTCAAAGCACTAAGATGAAGATTATCTTCAAGAGTATAATGTGCCGAGGAAGGTGAGTGACTATCTTTGAATAATTCTAATAATTTATTACAAACATTATCCTTGATTGGTCTAAAACTTAGTGATTCTGCTGCATTGATTACATGGTTGTGTGTAAATTTTATATTTACTTCCAATGAATGATTTAACACAAGTTGCCGACACTCTAACCATAAATGAATGGTTGCTGTGCAATATATATTTTGAGCCCGAGAAGACTGTGGATGCTTTACATCACGCTTTCCTTGCTTTTTCTTTACCTCATCGCTGTGTATGCAATGACGCTACTCATGAAAAATTACCTGACTTCCTTTGATATCAAAACCTCTTGTTTGTGGCATAGTTGTCATTGACCAAGATTGAAATTCTATGAACCACTCGTGTGCACCCTTCTCACTTTCAACATTAACAAAAGTGTCTAGCTCAAAATTTGCAACTTCAAAATTTTCCTGTGTCTTGTGTGGTGGTAAATTGTTGAAATTTTGTATTTGATATGTGTAATTTTGAGGGAGAACTGATTTCAAAATGTCAGGTAAGAGGTTCCATGAAAAGATTTAAGAAATTAAGGTAAAAAAAAGAAAAAAATCGTTATTGCACCTATCTACTGATAATTCAAAAATATGAAAGTATGACAACATTGACAATTGATAAGTGAAATTAATGAAATATGATGATATTGGCAATTGATAAGTGAAATTACTGAAATATGACGATATTGACAATTGATAAGTGAAATTACTGAAATATAACGATATTGAAACATATAAGTATGCCGATAAATGAAATATAAGGTATGATAAATGAAAGTATGAAAGCATAATTTATATTGATAAGCGAATTAACAATAATTGAAAATATGAAAGTTTAATTTA